AGTATTGGTTCATAAAGTAAAAAAAGAGACCAAAAAACTTTTGTACAGGTTGAATCTTCAGTCTTGTTAACAGCCCTTAAAGAAAATGTCCAAAGTTCAAGAATTAATATATTTAGTGTGTACTTAGAACAGAGAATCAAGGATTCTATAAGACTAAACCAATCTCAATAATTAGGAGTTCAGTACAAGAACAGTTTGGGGCCAAATAGTTCACCAGCAGAAAAAGTTTTTGCAAAGTATTGACAACAAAACAGCACAGATTCACATCTTGCTCAATGAATGGAGAAAACCAAGCACTCAAGAACTGAACACAGATGACAAAGTGCTCTTTACTAACACATGATTAGAAGTTCTATGAAATAACAAAGAGCATCAGTGAGGAGGTGCTCGATTTAGAGTCACACCAATAAGAAGCAAATATAAAGCTTTCTACTACATGCTTCTGATGCTTCAAAATTGGGAGCAGAGTAGTTATTGTTACTTCTGAGGATATTGATGTTTCTGCTCTTACTTGCCATCAGTGTCATCACTAATGCACTTCTAGGATTCCACTAGAATTTCATGCTTTCACATGCTGTGATTCTCTCAATACCTTTGCTGGGCATGGAAACATTTGTGCTTTGAAAATGTTTAAAATGGACAAATCGGTACAAAATATTTCTTGGGAAGTTGGCTAAGAATGAAATCTTTCTCCAGTTCCATTCTTCAAACATGAAAAGTTTTTTTGTCTGTTGTAAGGATCAAAGTATGATGATATCAAGGTGAATAACTTTTGTTACTAGTTATTCTGCAGTAGGAAAGGTGAGATTGAGTAACTTCAGCTATTCCCATATTCTGACTGTCTGTTTAAACATTCATAGTGAACCAACCACCATACAGACATATAGAAGAGATGCTTGGAAAGCAGGTCTTACATTCCAAGTCCCACTTGCTTTGGGTGGAAGTTTGAGTCTGGAAGTGGCCAAAATAAAAACTGACTATAAACTGTAAAGACTATCCATCCAGTTTATAGTAAGTTTCAGCACCTGAAACAATGCTGGAACTTCTGGTCTGCAACTGTGCAAGATCCTTAGCAAGTACTTAGACACATGCAAACTCAAGCCTTTTGTAAATCAAGAAAGTAAGAAAAATGACAGTGATTTTGATCTTTTCAGTGACAATGAACTTGATGAGTAGTGATCTAATACAAGTAATAGATGTAAGCCAATATAAGTTGAAAATATTATTGTTTATTCACAGCAGTGCATTGATTCTCTCATAATTAATCTAACATATTTCAAAATGTATTATTTCCTTCAGATATGCTTGTCTTTAAATCATAGTGGTTGTATGATATTACTTCTAAAAAATAAATAAAATGCGTTGTTATGCATAGATTTATCCTGTAAAGTGATTAAAGTGTTTGTTTTCTATAAAAAATGTTGTTGTTATTATTAAATTTGTCCTAATTGTTATTTAAAATTAATTTAGAATGATTCTCTGTTCATATAATGAAAAGACTTTTTGTGTAGTACTAGTTTTTCATCAGTATGGTGTGCATGGGTGTTTATGAGTGGTAGATTTTCATATAAAGCTACTCAATCACAGCTGCTATCAAATATTTGTCTCACCTTCAGGTACAGTGCTTTATTTATTTATTTTTTTAATTTGCCTCTATGGGTGGTACCAATTGGTCAAAATTTGGTTACTAGGTTTCTGGAATATAAATGGGGGGGGGGAGGATCATAAATAGATTGTGAAACTGAAATGGCTTAATTAGTTTGTTGTCTAGGAGAGGAAGGGCAGTCCAGTACTCAGAGAAAATTTTTTGAAAAAAAAAAGACTGTGTATACCCAATCCATCTGCTTTCCCCAGGATCTTCCCATGGTTTCAATGGAAAACTTTTGTCAGACAATTTGCTTCCCTAAGCTTTTGATAAGTCAGTAAACCTTAAATCTTTTTATACAAGATTTCATGCTTTATGCCAAAAACAAACATATTTTCATATGTCTGCCTCATTAATACTTCCTGGAAATGTGCACATTTCAACTTTGTACTCTATGGAGGACTTGAACTTCCAAAACCTTAAAGGTGTTTTCTATGAATCTCCTTGATAAAAGCAATTGCTTGGTATTGACAGTGTTACTCAGGGGCAAAGCCAATGTAAGGGATATTGTGCCCGTGGTTTATCTGTATTGTGGTGTCTACTTTAGGATTTCATCTTTGCCAGGACATATCTTTGCTCTTTCCTACACAACATGAGCATCATGTACTAAAATCAATTGGTAACGACTAGGATTCCATTGATAAAAGTATTGCATGTGTAGATTTATTATAGTGCTTGGTAGGTTATATGAATTTGTTATAAATATAAATCATTTAATATTGCTAGGCTTTTGTAAAAGTGGGCTGGAGTGGCTTTATATATAAGGTATGAACTGCAGCTTGTTAGGATCCCAACATAAAAATGGTAATCAAGAGGTTGGATCTATATGGATTACAATCAGGGGTTTCAGAGGTAGACATTTTTAAATGGCAGTGGTTATAGGTCACCTTATCAGACAAAAAAGGTCAAGGAAAAATTGTATAATAAGATCAGTATGACTATTAATAAGAACACTGAGACAATTATTATTTCAAACACAATGATAGAGATTGTATGGAGTCAAATAGAGAGAGATTTTTCAAATTTATACTGAATGGTTTTATAAATAAAATGAACAGAGAACCAACCAGAGAGGTGCCATTTTAAATTTATTGTTAACTAAACATATTGCTGCAAATTTGGGCCATAGACAAGGTTTATTATTAGTCAATTAGGGTAATGAATTAAAAAGGTGCTGTAGGACAGATTTGGGAAATTTTTGAAATTAATTGCTTTTGATTCCAGATAGTCATGTCCAAAAAGAGGAAAAGGATAACAGAGAACATCAAACCTAATTGGCTTACTAAAGTTGTACTGTAAAATAGAGAATCAGGGATAAATATCTTAAATTTAAGAAATTTATATCAACAGATATATTGAAATATTTACAGAACTATAAGAAGCCTAGGAATTTAGTTAAAAATAAAGTGGGGGAAATTCAAAAATATTTATGAGAAACAGCCAATTATAGGTGATAATGTTGTATGTTAAAACTAAGAGCAAGGATTGTCTAAGCATGTTAACCCTTTCCAAACCAGGGGATTGTTATTGACATCCACTGATTTTTTTCCTTCTCACAATGGAAATACTTAACCAATTTACATGAAACTTGGAGCAAACTTAATAACTAATAACTAGTTTCAGCTAAAAAAGTCATAATTTTATATGCTTTTACTTTTCCTATATTTTTTATTTTGTGATATTTCCAAACTTTTGTTTTGAGATACTGTTATAGAAAAACATTAGACACTTCTTTTTATCTTAGAACTTAATTTTTTTTTGTTGATAACAAATTTCTATTTCATATATCTAATGAGCTTCAATTTGATTGATATTCATTAATATATTTATTTTGATTATTACAATAGTCACCACTTCCTGCTATAAATCATAAAAGCCACTGCAGAAACTTACAAAGATTATTTGGTGACCCAGGACCTGATCTTTGAAAATGATGTCATGTCAGGCTAGGTTGAAGTCAACCTGCATCTAATAAATATACTTTATTTTCAATTCATTTTAAGTTTTTTTCATTTATGTGTGTTGTTAGTATTGCATTTATAGGTGCCAGTGCAATGGTGTCTACCAAACCAGAAGTACTGATGTTTTTTATAATAACAGACTGAACTGTCTGTATTTTAATTTTTGGTATGAGGTATGTTTTTGACATACATGAAAGATTGGTGTGTGTTTGAAAAATGATGTATTTAAAAAACTAAATCCAGTCACATCCACAACTGGCAATTATGTGAAATGTCATTTTTGAAACCATAATCCTTGAAATTTATCTCAGTACTTACAGTGTTGTATAATTAATCATTGAGGTTTTGTTTCTCAGATATTATGTTTGAAAATTGATTCACAACTTGAAATACCAAGCATTTTAAACTGTATATGTAAAAGTATGAATTTTTTTATTTATACTAAGTTATTTTGTTTTTTTTAAGTGGCATAATGATCTTATTAGTGAGTAAGTATTGTTTTTGTGTGGAAATACACAAAATAGATAAATTACCCATTATTCATTGTTACTTGTATTGCATTATATACAGTATTTTGATTTCTTTGTAAAGATAAAAGATGTATATATATATATATTGGTGAGAAAACAAAAAGCTAATATTACACATGTGATGTATCTATTAGTACAAAAGTAATATCTATTTAAATTTTATTTTAAACACATCAGTTTTGCTAGAAAATGAAAAATTTTTTATTTCTAAAAACAGTGTTTTTCTTTTTGCTAAATAATTGTAGTTATGATATAGTATAATTTGTCTTAAGTGTTTGGAATTTTTATGCTAAGACTGAATGAAATGACTGTGAAGCACAAAACGTATTGAGTTGTTTTGATTCTGAGGTTGAGATGGAACATATATGGTCAAAAGTATAATTAACAGTGAGAGTACCCAACTAATGAATCGATGAATCACAATTATTATGTTTCATGATTTTATATTCTCCCAGTAATAACGGCATATTAAATTAGCTTTATTAATTACTGGGTTAATTTTAAGTTCAGATCTATGAAGGTAGCTTGTTTTGGTCAAAAGTTATTGATAATCACACAAAAATTTACATACTCCTAAGGCATTTTGATGATTTTCTACTCAACTTTAAGCTGTGTTGGGCAATCTTGTTTTATTATGGTTTTAGTAACATTGCAGACTATTTCTTGTTATTTGAAACTACATCATGGATCATTTTGGAATAAAGTGTACAACCTGTAGAGGAGAATAATTCATTTAATAAAATAATTGATACAGAAAAATATAAGAAGAGGATTTCAATTGTATATTTTTGCAGTATTTAGTTATGACAAACTTTTGTTTTCTGTGTTTATGCATTTAATTAGGAAAATATTTTCTTTATATAGATGGATTTTTTGTTTGTCGTGCATCTCAGAATGTGTTCAAGAGCACTAAAAAATTCAAAATCCAGTGGCTAAATAATGACAACAATGCTAGTGTTTATTCTCCAGATTTCTTTGACTTCACTAGTAAGTATCATTGTTCTTCCATTACATTTATTATGTACCTTCTAGAAATTTAGTCTATACAAAAGGCTTTTAGCTCTAGGAAACTATTGCCATATGTATATATATTTTGAGGAATACTCATTCAAACTCAAGGTAGGTCCTATAATTCATTGTAGATGGTTACACTTTTAATGATATGCTTTTGTGGTATGCAGATATCATATATCCCATTCTATTATATTATGTAACTCTGTAATATAGTGACAAAATTAAAAAAAAATTCCTTTAGTTCTAGTTCAGAGTTTGATAACTTATATGTAAATCATGTGCTGATTTAGCCCTAGGTGTTATCTCTATAGCATGAATTAGTCTAGAAAATTTTATGCTGCTTAATGTAGCCAATTCTGCCCTAAGAGTGAGCTGATTATTTGACAATTGTTACATGGAGCAAAGATACTACTGGCTGCCTGTAATCTATTTTGTGATTGGTTTGCTATAGCAAGAGAAAGTGGACCATGAGAGTAGATTTGGTGCTTTTAGACAGATTTTTCTTCTTAAAAAGAACCAGGACTTACTTGTGATATTTTGCCTACATTTCTTTGTTTTAGTGCAGACATAATTCCTCTGTATGTGTTTGCATGTGTTTTGTTCTCAAGTTTAAAAATAATACTTGAACCTCATTTTTATTTTATTTTAATCTCATTGCAATTTTCTTTGCATTTAATTTTATAAGCTCTTTCATTTTAAATCAATAAATCTTCACTCCTAGCTTCCATTTCATCTATACTTGTGTAATGGGTAGCACCCTGGTGGGCTTAATTGTTGGAGTTTCAATTAGAACTACTCGTTACACCAAATTTATTTATTGGAGGATTTGTCGTGACGAGTGGAGCCACAAGTCGCAAACTTGAGGAAGTTTATGGTTAGACTAAAGAAATAGAGACTCAGGCCAATGGTGAACACTTAAAATAACATTTATTTAACATTTAACAACTTCTCCAAAACATTACACATCTTAAACATTAGTTCTATTGAGTTAATACTTATATATCGTATTAAACACTTTTATCTAGATACATTTACTATCTTCTATGACTTCTACACTAGATGATTAAGAGAGAGAGATTATACTTACTGTAGAGTTGGGTTGTTAGAATTCTTAACTACGTTTGTCATCTTCATTGTCATCTCTTCAGCCTGGAGAACTTCTTGATCCCTGGAGGTACTTTTCTTCAGTCCCAGAGAATGTAACATTTTAACCTCTGACATGGGTTTTTAAACTAACTTTTCTCTGTATTATTTCGACCCACTAAATAGGGCACAGCGTCACCCACAAGTAGTCCTGTGCTCCTATTGGATACTTTAGGAGAATTCCCGGTCTAAACCAGGACCATAACCAAAACTCTCAAGTAATTGGTCACAGATAAGTGGTGTTAGCAAGCTGCCTATTCACTTGTACTGCTACACCCATGTGCTGTAACTAATACCACCTCAAAGTGCCGATATGATTCACCAAACCAAACTTTTCTGTAGCTTTCTTAGTTCTAAGAGGTTGAGGTCAGTAATTCTTCAACTTGTCACAAGTACTAGTGTTTTCATCTTGTTCCCAGGCAACGTTTCTTACTAACTATGCCACTGACCTTGGTTACTAGTTCTCAAACTCGTTTCACGAGCTTATTTCGTAATATTACGTGTTTTGTTGCTTGTTTCTAGGCAACACTCCTTACATGACTAATTATCGAGCTCATCTCACATGCTTATTTCATAATACAGGCATCCTCTTGTCGCCTCTTTTTTATATATCCTTGACTACTCGCTTATACTAAGAACCTTTTAAGTTTTATTCTATGTATTTTCAACTACTAAAACTCTGAAGCACTTGCAGAATTTCCTCGAAAATTTTCAAGTTGCTTCATCCATCCCTCCCTCCTTAGAAAAAATGTGTTACTTGTAACAAAATTTATTATCCAGCTCACTATCTCCATCTCTCTTCATCAGCCAATGCTTACATTACTGAAGCATATTCATGTATATATATATATATATACGATTATACATGAGGGATTATATAGGTAAAACATATAAAATTTTATCCTGATAAACATAACTAACAATTTAAAACCACTACATATAACAAGGTAACATTAGGTTATTACAACAAAATACAAGTTTTTATTCACTCTAAAAATAGTTTCTAAAGTTCTGGAACACATCCCAATTGCTGGTGGCTACAAAGCACACACTTTCCAATAAGCGAAATGTTTGTGGGGGTAACAGTGATAATCGTACGTTATCTGTTAACTGCAGTCCAGATGTCTATATGGTGGGCATCCCTATTCTTCTACATCTTGGCATGGAATACCTAGTTGTCTCTGCAACAGCTGTGCCTTTTCTCTGCTCTTGGTGTATATCTTCACATAGTCCTGCCTTATCCCCTGGCGAATCTTTAAGAAGTCCAACATAGAATAGTCTCCATCAGTCCAACGGAGGCCGTGGAGATACACAGTACACCACAAGATGTGTCTTTTATCAGTATCACTCAGGCGATCCTCAGGATATGGAGACCTGAAGCAATAGACGTCAGTCCACCCTGAACGACAGTCTTTAATAGCCAACTCCTTTATTGTATATCGTCCATTAATTCTAAAACCTTCCACCTCTACGATGATGGCTCTTTGTCCTTGTTTCCAATCATTATTATAAGAAAATTGTTATTACTTGTCCCAGTTAAGGCTTATTCAGTCACTTCACTCGTTCTTTTGTTCATCTCAGTCACACGCATGTCCTTCTGGTACATCTGGCTACTCGTCGTGCTCTTTATTCAAATCACTTCAATCACTCTATTCAGAACACTTCAATTCACTAGCACACTATCAATACTTGTCATCCATTGATAGAAGTTTCCGTGTAGCTTATTTCTGGGTTCGTTGTAATGTCTAACTATCCATCTTTGTCTCTTGGTGTTGTGATCACTGTCTATCATTTTTGTCTTTTCTTGAACTTTTCTTACTTCCAGTCATTGTCTATTATTTTTGTCTTTTCTTGAACTCTCTATGCCTAATAATTTTGACTAATATCATCTTTTAGAAATCAACTAACCTCACCAATTGGTTATATCTAAATATTTTTGTAATCCTCTATATAATGAAGTTATACCCTTATTAGATGGGGCCTACTCATTCAGTTCTACTATTTCAGTAGCTTCTGAATATTCAGACATTTCATTATTGCCTGTTCTTGCCTCACCCTCCATGGACTACAGATCAGTTTGCATCAGCTTACCATCAGGCTGACTGCCTGTTTCTCAACTCTCAACAGTTGGGGTCGATTTTACCTGTCTGGGGGGCAGACCCTGATTTTCCTGTGCATTTAACCCATGCCCAGTTTTCATGCCTTCATCTTACCCTTACTTCTTTTCTATGGTATTTATCTACTATCCATTTCCTTTCCAAGAGAATCCACCGAGACCCTGGGGTTTTTTCGAGGAAAAGCCTATTATTAACTCCACTTTGCCTAGATTATCATCTTTGGCTCTTGCTTTACATGGTTTCTCTGTTGTTGGGATCTTCCGGGTAGAGGTGTCTTTGTCCCAGGTTCATTTGCCACCCCCTTTTCTTAGGGATTTATGTATGACCCCTTTTATTTGGTGGTATGTTTTCAATCATGTACGTGAAACTTTGGAATCATGTGTGGAGTCTGTGTATCAACACTACCCTTTCCTCTTTAGTAGCATTTTTGTCGCAGTCAGAGCCAAGACATGCTCCTATTCTTGTTTCCTGTCTTAGCCCTTCTCAACCTTTACATGTTCCTCCTTCCAGGGGTTTCTCATCTCATTGTATTATTGAACGTAGATGGGCACATTGACAACAGTACTGTGGAATACCCAGTGGATTCTGGGCCAGTGGAAGCTTGATTTCACAACTTTGTTCATCTTTGGTGATCTTTCACCACATATATGTGGGTTCTTTGGGTTTTATTAGAGGGACTTGTCCTTCAATTTCCCCCCCCCCCCCTTTATCTCAGGTACCCATTTCTTTCCCCATGCCTTTGGATCCTACCACCAACCAGCATCTGTCTAAAGGTGGTACAAGATCTTCTGTCTCAACAGGCCATTGAACCTGATCATCATTTTTTTCCAGGCTTTTATTTCAGGCTGTTTGTTGTCCCCAAGAAAATTAGAGACTGGCAGTCTGTAATAGATTTTCTCAATTAATTAATTTCTTAATTTCTCAATCTGCTCTGTTTCACTATGGAGTCGTTTCTCACCCTCAGGTAAGCTTTTTCTCCAGGTTTATGAATGACCAAGATGGACATTTTGAATGCTTATTTGCATATCCCGATATCTCGTCAGTCATGACCCTATCTTCAGTTTGTTCACCATGGGGTGGTTTATCGGTTTCATGCACTGCCCTTTGGACTTCCTTCAGCCCTGGATGATTTTGTTGGGTAGTCAGAGCACTGGGTCATCACTTACATACCCTTGGATTGCCGTTTCATCATTATATGGATGACTGACTACTGTTAGCTCATTTCGAACAGGAGTCCACCCATCATGCTCAACAGCTGCTCCTGGAGGTGGCTTGAGTGGGCTGGTTAAACAAGTTGGAGAAGTCATTCCTGTGACCTACCCAATATCTTGACCACATGGGTGTTTTTGTCAGCACCCATCTCAGTTGGGCCCAACCATCTCGATATTGTTAAATGGAGCTTTTAGTTCTCCATGTTCTTACTGCTCCTTCTATGAGGTTCTATCTTTTTGGAGATGTGGTCTTCCATAGCTGTCCTCATCCCTTTAGGTCAGGCTCATATGCAGGCTCTTCACAACCAGTGGAATCTTGCGAGGGATCCTTGGACTGCTCTTATCATTCCTCCTACCCTGGTGGATGATCTGCATTGGTGGTTGGACAAGACTCACACATCAGCGAGTGTTCTAGTTCCTCCTCCTCGTTGAGATTTACACATTTTCATGGATGTATCCCTTCAGGGATGAGGAGCGTGAATCGACCAACAGGAAGCTTCAAGGTGTTGGTCTGTGGCTGAGAGTTTTTGTCATATAAACACCCTAGAGCTTCTCGCTGTATGTTATGGTTTGGTTCATTTTTTCCATCTGGTCAGAAATTATTTGGTAATGATCCATTTGACAATTCTACAGTGGTTGCTTATCTCAATCACCAGTGCAGCAGCTGTTCTCGATCCCTCTCTGTTCATATGTTTGATCTTTTTGGGGCCCGCATGCTAAATATTCATATCATTTCATGTCATGTTCTGGGTGCTTTCAACCTTGTAGATTGGCTTTCCTGTCCAGATAAAATCTATCTGATGGAGTGGTCTCTTGATCCTCATGTTTTCCAGTGGCTTTGCCTTCAGTGTGGTACTTCTCACATTAATTCCTTTGCCACATCACTCAACCACAAATTGCCTTTATTTTGGTATCCAGTACCTTATCCTCTTTCTATGGCTGTCAATACTTTCAGCTAGGACTGGACCAACAAATACCTTTATGTCTATCCTCCCATTTCACTCCATATTAAGTCTTTCTGATTGTTCCTTACTCTCTGAATCGGCTGTGGTTTCCACAGCTTTATCAGCTTCAACTTATCCCTCTATTACCTCTATTGAATGATTTTTAAGATTTTTTTCCCATAAATTTGCCTCTGGTTGTGATTCTTCAGACAAGATGGAATCCTTATCAGGTGAATTATTTTCTGTTACTTGGTTAGTTAACTGTTGTATTCACAACAGGTATTTCTATAAAGCTCATCATCCATTTTATGAGTTATAGGGGTATCTTGGGTCATGAAATAATTTGATTTAATAAACAATTAATAAAAAATTTAACATATTTCCTTATAATATGAGACTATATGTTTTAATGAATTCATCCATTAAGGACATTTACATGTTACTTATGTATGTACCTCTGCAATTGTTCTAGGCAAAAGTCCATCTTCTGCTCTGGTGCATAATGAGAAAGTGATGCCTTCTGGAAGTGGGCAGAAGCTGACATCTTATAGCTGCTTTTTCCATCTCCATGTGTACCATTTTTCAAGTGTTATTTTATAACTCCAACCAGGGAGGAGAACACCTTACTTCTTTGTATTTATCTTTTTTAACCTATTTGGTGTTTCAATTTCAATGTCCTCGATCTGTACAGCTCGTCCTTGGGATTGCATGGGTCTTTCATTTTTTCTGGTTGGTTTTGTGTTTTTGTTTGTAACTTGAGTGTAGATGTATGGGGCCTTAGCCTCAGGGACATGTCCAGTCAGTAGCTGTTACTTGTCTATTCGTCTGAGAATCTGCCACTACAGATACAGGACAACACATTGCAACCTGATCTTCACTACCTGTAGTGCCATCTTCTATAATCACAGCTGAATATGTGATGGTTCCACCAGTAAATACATATTGTCTGACATTCCTTTTTATATATTATTTGACCCTTTCAATGTGGCTGGGATGTATATTTCCCAGTGCTCCCACCCCCTTACACTGCGACTGAAACAAATGTTTCCCATTGGCATTCAGAATTGCTGCGTATGACATTGAGTGTAAAATGAGTTTGAAAGTATTTATTGGCATCCCACCCGATGTTGATATATGGTTCCCTCTTTGTTATACACTCAGACCTTCAGTAACCAATAAGATGCTTAAGAGCTTCAGTGAATGGGTTAACTCTTTCAACTGGGCTCGGCCCCTGGGATGGACCTCATAACCATTTTGTGCTTGTTATAGTTTTCATGATATAACTTTTAAATTAGTAAGCGAATGTTAACGAAATTTGGCAGTATATCAATAAACATTACAATGCTTTCATATGCAAAATATCTTATTTTTCTATTAAGTCTTAAGGTTTGTAAAGCAGTGTTTCTCTCATGTCCTTTTTTTTTCTTTTCTACATCTTGCCAATTTATCAATCAAAGTAATTTTCATTTTAAGATTAAAAATACTTTTATGCATCAGAAAATTTTGAAATTTCATATGTAAAAATCTTTATAATGTCCAGAT